TATTAGTTATATATAGAGTAGTAGGTACTATACTCTAGTATTTACTATATATATATATATATATATATATATATATCCATGCTTATTACCAGCATAAATGAATAGTAGATTACTTGAAATCTGCAAAGCCGAGCCTATATATAGGCCTAGATTTGTATTTCTAGGTCTAGAAAAAAATGCAGGTAAAAGAGCAATTTCAGGAGGGTGAACTGCCAGCATATATATATATATATATATATATATATATAATTTCATTGCTTTAAGACTCTTTTCGTCAAAAGTCTAATTGTATGGGCAAAAACTGTACAAAACATTTAAATAAACATTATTAAAGCGGTGCATGGATGGCTGGAGGGGGATCACACACTTTTTCTCAGAAAAGAAAAACAAACTTCTATTGAAGAAGAAATAAAGAAGCTTAAGGCTTGGGCCCTAGGTGGGGAGAAACCTTAGGGTTACCCCAAAGTTGCATGTGCTTGACTAAGATGTTTTGCTGATTTTACTGATCTTTCAAATTTCAATTTCCCTACACCACAGGGGAGCTAGACAAGAAAGATCTATGAAACATGCTAATTTCCATAAGCCCTGAATTAGTGGGTTCCTTTAGATCCCACACTAAAGCATCATCATCATCTGAAACTTTTTGGGTTCGGCAAGATCTTGCACTAAGGCAAATTAAAAAAAATCAAAAGAATCATGGGAAACATCTAATAATGTTTCTGAACATGCTTTCAAGTCACTACAGCAGGGGATTCTTTAAGAATATAACATGAAATCGGATTTACAACAAATGGAAAGAACCAAGGGAATCATCCATCAAAATATTTCTGAAAAGTGAGTAATTTCGCTATGGGTGTTTGAATGATAGTCTTATTCTAGCAAGTAATTGTGCAATGGAATACTCCCTAAATATATCTCGTAAAAGAAAACTCCAAAGAGAGAAAAGAACCATACAAACCATACTCGAATTGTCTCTGAAACATGCTAAATTCACCAGCCATGCAATAGACATTTATTTAATAATTTCAAAACAAATTCAAGAAAAATAAAAAGAACCAAAGAAATAAGGCATGAATACTTCCAAAACATGGTAACATCAAGTAAACCTAAAACGGGTATTTTTCTGATAATATTAGTTGGAAGACAATGAAACCAACTTTTCTAGAAAGGTTCCCGTTTGAAATAAGCACACAATTGGGATTTTTTATAATATCAGGCAAAAGAAAATTCAAAAAAAACAAAATAACCAAAAACCATTAAAGAAGTATTAAAGAAACATGCAAACTTTGAGTACCCCACAACGGGGCATTCTCTAAATGTATCAGCTAGAACAATATCCAATACAACGAAAAGAACCAAGAGTCCCATCCACGAATTATCTTCAACATGCTCAATCAAACTAAGTCCCGGAGCGGACATTTCTTTAAGAAGCTCAAATAAAAGCGAATTCAATAATACAGTTCACAATTTCCAAAAAAAAAAAAGCGAATTCAGTAAACAAAGGAAGAATTCATGAACATTCGCAAAAACATGCAAATCCAAGTTACCCAAGAATGGGCGATCCTCCTAGAATTTCAGATTAAACAAGAACGTGAAACCACCCATCCATGTAATATTCTAGTTTGAAATTAGGGTTACATTATCATATATGTAATGGTGAATTCGATAAAAATAAAGAAAAATAGAAAAATCAAAGCACAAGAATGAATCATACCTGTGCTCTCTGCCATTGCTGCAATTGACAAAAACTGATTAAGATTGATACGATATGGGAATTCCTTGCCCTAGGGTTTCCCCCCAGGGCTTCATCTTTCATCTCTCTCTAGTCTTTATCTTTTATTTAACCTCTTCTCTGTAAATTGTGGAGAATTCCTTATCTCTATCTAATTGCCTGTCCCCTCTCGATTTTCCTCTCTCTCTCTCTCTCTCTCACTACTCACTCAATTTTAAATTTTCTCGTTGGAGGGTAAAAGGAGGGAGAGATGTTGCAGTTAATTTAGATAATTGAATCATTACCTATGTATTGAGTAAGAATAAAAAAGATTTGTTCATTTAACATTTGGGAAAAGTTTATATAGAGCCGAGGCTCTAAACAATCAAATTTAAACCTATCTAAAAAATTTCACTAGAAGAGGTTGTTTTGATGCCCAAATATCCTCAAATTGATCATCTCGACATCAAGATGCATGGCCATGAAAAAAAATGGATTTCAAGTTTTGAAAATAGTATATTTTATAATGTATTTTTTTACCGTCAATTTTCAAGTTTTTGTATATCTACGATCTACACTATTTTTGAAGCTTTAAACTTTATAAATAAAAATAAAAATATATTTTAAAGCTATCACAAATATTTTATATTTCGTGATACTATTTAAATACAGGCTCTAATTTGATTGTTTAGAGCCTAGGCTCTATACAAACCACCCTTAACATTTTTAATACGCGTGGTGAGAGGATAAATCTAAACCTAGTAGGTTAGGGAACTAAGGGAATCAAATCTAAAGGATATGTACATGTCTCCCTCGATGTCAAAGAGCAGTATATCCAAAATCAATGGAGATAAGGACGTCTCTTGACCGTCTAATGTAAAGATGGATGGCCAGGATGCTTTATTCCTCTACTCAAGATAGACTTCGAGCAATGCAAGTACACGTCCCAGCCGTTTCTTTGTCTGCATCTCAAGGTGTGGGAAACTGATATTTAGGAGCCATTTGTATGTGAAATATATTACTAGCTTAATACATTATTTCTTAATGGATTGTTATTGTTTAGGTAGTATTTAGATGCAACTTGAAAAATATATTGTTGTTGTTTGGCTATATCTGGAAGAAATATAAGAAATACATTACCAATATTTTACCAGCACGTGCCTATAAACTATCATTTATTTCTTTTTTGTCACAGAATTTCACTAAAACGTAGAATTATCATTTCTTTATTTTTTGTTACAAAATTTCACTAAAATAAATAATTAAAAATCGTCATCACACCATTTCAAAAGGATTTCTAATAATAATATTATCACCATTCCAAAAAGATTTTTTAATAATAACTTGTATCATTTTACAGTCATACATTATTTCCTACTTATTTTAAATGCCTTTGGTACTTACATGCGATCACATGTTTTCTACCATGGCATTGGTTTCAACAGGATAAATCATTGGAACAATTATTAGAATAACATGATTTTATTATGATAAACCTTATTTTTATTTATCTTTTATATGAATCTTTCAAATGTCCCTCTATATAATTTCAAATAAACAATAAAGCTATGATACTAAATTCAAAATCTATAGGATACGAGTTAAAAAATAAGGAGAAGTTTGATTAGTAAACTAGAAGGTTTGGTAATTACAATATAAATTTTTGAGGTATTGGAGGAGACTAAAGAGGTATGTTATTTCAATTAATATTTTAATAATCTCTTATGGGGATTATGTTGTGTGAAATTTTTTATTATAATTGTGTTGTGTAATTTATTACTGATTACTGATTTTTATTTTCATTATTTTTGTTTTTATATGACACCAATACCTTCAGATGAGGGGACGAGCTTAAAAAGAGAGGGATCGCATTATGTTATGTGAAATTTTTTATTATAATTGTGTTGTGTAATTTATCATTGATTATTAATTTTTATTTTTATTATTTTTGTTTTTATATGACTCTTTAGATAAAGGGACGAGCTCAAAAAGGGAGGCATCACCTAGTTATTATGAACATAGACAGTTGCATCAGATAAGGGGAAGGGAGGGATCAAATAATTATTATGAAAATACACAGTTTACCAGAGAAGATTTTTATTATGATTGTGTTGTGTAATTTATCATTGATTATTGATTTTTATTTTTATTATTTTCGTTTTTATATGACTCTTTAGATAGGAGGACGAGCTTAAAAAGGGAAGGATCGCCTAATTATTATGAACAAGGACGGTTGCATCGGATAAGGGGACGAGTTTAAGAGAGAGGGATCAACTAGTTATTATAAAAATAGACAGCTCACAAGAGAAGCTTTTTTTTAATCAGAGATAGGGTAGGCAAAAATGCACGCGAACGATTTCCCAAAATTACCCGTCACTCGCGTAATAGATTTTTCATCTATCACCACGCGTAATAGATTTACTGATTTTTTTGGGAAATCTCACATAATCATTTTTCATTTCTTTACAATTAAGTATACCCAAATATGAAATTTCCTTCTAATCTATTGTCACGTAATAGATTTTCAGATACCCAAACTGCCCTTATGGATTGTATACTTTGATACCATTGGACATGGTTTTGGTGAGGACATGGTTTTGGTGAGTCAGCCGACTTACCTATTACAGCGCGGTCCCTTGTCTCTATAAGTCCATCTCTAAGATGGATGTCAAAAAATATTACATCCATTAAAAGTTAAAATAGACAGTGAAGAATGGAATTTAAATAATAAAATTTATATTTTATGAAAAATAAAAATTCCAAAATTAGATCATTGTCATAGTTATCAAACTCTAAAAGTTTGGATTGAAAAGTACATCATTGAGATATATTCTTTAGGAAAATCACACAAGAATAGTGAGTCGGTCAACTCACCAAGCACTTTTTTGAGACCATTTATATGTGTTATAAGGAAATCACTATTACTAAATTACTTATAGTAATTAGATATGTCAAATTAGACGTCTTAGGATATATCACCAAATTTAAGTTTTTTTTATTTTTAACTTTTTGTCTTGTCAATAGGAGCTTTCAACACAAGATTTAAAACTTGATGGACAAGAGTGGGTGTTACATCTGTACGCTTTGTAGAATCTTTCTTATATTTATGCATAAAATAAAGGGAAGGCTTTAAATGTTCCCCTTACAACATAGAAGTTTTATATCCCTTTTATCGAACCGTCCATTTTTTAATGGAGGGCTAAGATTGCTCCAATCACAATGTCATATCTCTATATTGTTTTATTTTTAATGTTTTTTTTTATAAACTGTTTTGACACTAAATTTTGGACGTCCATTTCAATATTAAACTCGCACTAACAAAAGATATAAAAAAAATATTTTCAATAAAGTAAAATGACCAAAATACTCCTATAAGATTCAAGGGGTATTTTGGTCATTATTTTTTATTGAAAAATTATTGTTAATATTTTTTATAGGTGCGCCTCAATGAGAAGATGACACTTATCAAATTTCATATTCAATAAAATTGTATTAAAAAAACTAAAAATAAAATAATTTGAGACGTCGGATCTAAGATCAAACAGTGAGTAGCTCTCTTGATAAAAAATGGACGGCTAGATGGTAGAGGGATCATATAATTCCTATGTTGTAGGGGGAACATAGAAAGTTTTTCCTAAAATAAATAGGCAGTCTCCCCTGAAATTAAATCAAATGCAAAGAGAAAAATAAATAGTACAAAAGTTTGGGTGAATCTACCACTCTACCTTAGTTTTCAAGGGTTATATGACATTAAGCACATCTCATGATAATACAAAATCATTTCTATGTCCGAGATGGATTTTGGGAGGGTGAACTCATTTCAATAGGTGTGTTCCCAAAGGAACACGTAAACCCTACCCCATGAATTCTCATGAATGGCATTTATTTACAATTGCGTAGGATTAAGGTGACGCACATATGCTCAAATTTTTAAGTCGCTGACCTTGTCAAAACTATCAAATCTCCTTGACCGAGGCGAACTTTTACATATTCAAGTTACGACCGGTTTCTATGCGACCAAGCCCGCATATGTTGAAATACGCGGGCCTTTTAATAAATATATTTTTGAGATGGATTTTAAGACTTAATTTTTAAAGACATGTAATCTCTAACATGGAGATCATGAATATGAAATAAATAAATAACTTTTTAAAAACTGTAAATAATAATTCTAGTAAGAAAATATTTGGACCGTTAATTTTCATTGTCTTTAGGTAGAACACTTACTTGCATTCATATTTAATATGGATGTTTTACACTTTCCAGACTGCATATGTAGAAATACACTCCAACCCGCATGAAAAATTTTTCCTTTTAAGTTATCCACAGTCAAAAGTATCTTAATTGCAATCAAATTTATCTTAAATGTGGTCAAAACTGTGTCGTTGTGCTTACTTACAATATGCTTTTGCTTAGTTATGCTTATTCATGGTCAAGAGCTAGAAACTTTTCCTTGGTAGTATGAAAAAATGTATCAAGTGCCCTTTACTTATATCTCATCATCATTGTCACCATTTGAACCTTATCCCAATTATTCACGGTCAGCTATTTGAGTAGTTATGCCCTTAGTCAGACCATAAGTCACTATATTTCTTCTCACTACTTCTATACATATTCTTTTGGATATTCTCCTGTCGTTTTAGAGCCTTCCTGTAACAATCCTAAACTTAAAAAAAAAAAAAAAAAAAAAATTAATGCATGATAATTCGCTTGAACATGATGGTCCTTAGGGACCATCGTTACTTTTAAAAGCTTTTGTTTTAAAAGCTTTGTGTTTCCTTGCTCTTGCCACGATCCACTAAAGGACGTGGGCTTTAGGTGTTTAAAGCGTAAACTAACGCTCACACCTGTAACGTAATAAAAGCTTTAGGTGTTTAAAGCGTAAACTAACGCTCACACCTGCAACGTAATGAAAGAATAAAATAATATGTTAGTAGAATTTAAATTCAGAGAGGTGAAGACTCATACCTTAGAAAACTTATGAGATTTTTCTCTTTGGTCGAAACACAGTGAACTCCTCTCTAGAGCCAAATTTTTATCGGAAGCTCCCTCTCAAATATTTATGTGTAAGTGATATCGTCTTCTTGAAAAATAGTCTGTTTTTAATAAATAGTGATATTTCTGTCCAGGATCTTTATTTTATAAGTTTTGTGTGTAAGTGACCTCATTGTCTCGAAAAAGAATCCATTCTTTTAAAAATGAAATGAAATAATTATTTCTGCTTATTATCATGAATTTTAGGCGCGATAAATTTTATGCGCACGTGACCTCATTATCTTGAAAAATAATCTTTTTAATAAAA